GACTAGTACAGTACTAAACACACACACACACACACACACACACACACACACAGAGAGAGAGAGAGAGAGAGAGAGAGAGTGAGCTACATAGCTAGGTACTCCTCTGGGCCTATCTATCCAACTTCCAAACTGCAGGAAAGAGTTTGGCCTTCCGAGTGATGATGTGCTAAAGAGCCACAGCAGAGAGGGGGGTGCAGATCCAGTGTGGGACAGAAGGGAGCCACCGTCTCCTGCCCACTGGGGTGGTAGTGGCAAAAGTGCGGGCACTGTCGGGGTGGCCTGGGCTGCTTCACAGGATGATGGGGCGGAGCCACAGCCAGACTGCTGGACAGTCAGAGCCGGCCAAGGAGGGAAGTGGCCGTACTCAGCAGCAGAGGCCGGCCCACCCCTTGCAGGGTTATCACAAAGGGGTTCCAGCCCCAGGCAGGTACCTGGGCTGCCTCACTGTTTCAGCCCCTTCCAATCTGAGGTCATCTGAGCCTGTGGACCGCGGGTGACGGCATGGAGGGATTAGCATGCTTTCCTCTAACGAAAGTAGCTCTGGAGCCCAGGTCAGCACCAACGCCAAGGGAAGGAAGGAGTGATGTGAACAGATGGTCAGACTCACCCTCTACGGCAGCTTCACCAGAAGGACGTGCTCAGGGGACGATCCTTAGGACAAGACATCCCAGAGACAGAGGGGCCCGGGAGGGCAGCTGATGCTCCAAAAAGCAGATCAGGACTTCAGGACAAGATGACGACCAGGGCACCAAATTAGCCTCACCAAGACATCTAGGTGTATGTGTGTGACCTGGACTAAGCCGTGTCAGAAAAAGATCACACAGGCCCAGAATGAAAAAATAATCAGAGTCCTCAGTGAGCAGGGTATTTCAGGAAAACCTTCCAACAGAAAGGACCCGGGAATTCCTCCCTGACAGACAGTTAAGACAGCCACGCTGACTAATTCAGTCTACACTTTCTTCAAGTTTCTCTCTTCAAAAAGGTTAAAACATGGATCGTTAAGGAAGGTAAGTCTAAGCTGTTTTGGGGAAATGGAAAAGCAAATGAAACAGAGGAAGAAACCCCGTCGCACAGACCACCTGGCTTTGGATCTTTGGCAGAGCCCGCACGGGGCGGGGGGAGTGGGGGTAATTGAGGAAATGTGATGTCTCACCAGAAAGCCACTACCCATGACTTCTGAGAAACTATGGAAATAAGGTGAAAAGTGTCAGAGTTCTGGCAAATCTTCTTAAAGAGAAAAAGAATGACACTGAAAATTCTAGTCCAGGCAGCTTCACGGCAATACCTGGGGAGGTGATACAACCGACTTTCGGTCGGTGCCCTGCCGCAGTGTGACAGGGGAAGAGGGGGCTGGCCCACATGCTGCAGAGGCGCCAAAAGTGAGAATTACCCCCTTCACAGCTTAGTGTGCAGTTAAGCCACAGCGTGGAGAGGAAAGAAGAATAATTACCTGGAGGAGGGATTCAGCCTACAAACAATTGCTCAGGTTGGGGTCTACTTTCCAGAAAGTAGATAAATGCCGAGAAGATGGCTTACCAGAGGCCGTGGGAGAAGAACGCAGCAAGGACCCCAAGACGGGTATTAGAGTCTGTTCGCCTCTTGGCCCAGATCAGTAGGTTCCAAGCTTGATAATTCACAGAGCACTTTTTCTCTAAACAAATTCTTTACAGAAGCTCTACGTCTGCAAGATGAAAGCAGCAGGCTCCCTGGCAGAAGGGTTTGGGGTTGGGGTGGGGTGGGGTGTCGGGGTTGGGGAGGTGGGCATTCCATCCACCTGCCTCCCGCTGAGGGAACTGAGGCCTCCTCAGAGCAGTCAGAAAAATCACTGGGTTGGATGAAGGAATTGAGAACAAGCTTATTGAATGTGACATTGATGACAAAATAGGTAGATTCAATCACACACAAGGAGGCAGGAATGACTTTTATAAATAATCTCTAGCAGTGGCAAAAAGAATTCACCAGACCAAAAAACTAACTCAAAATGGTCAGTGCCGGTGGGGAAAGGGGTCCATCCCCCCTCTCTCTCCTCCCCTTTCCCCCTCCCTCCTCCTCCTCCCCCACCATCAGATACACACACAAATCAGGGAACACTAACCAAAGGAAATCAGCATAGCTCAGGTTTACCAAAGCACCTAACAGAAAAGAGGGAAATCTAGGTTCCAGTTAAAAATTGTAAACAACATGTAGTTTGATTCTGACTTGAATAGGCTAATTAAGTGCCTCAAATGAACAAACAAACAATGACTTTGCCTCAGTTTATCACTTAAAAAAGAAAAGGTTCTTTTTTGGGATTCAGCAAAAGAACGTTTAAGAGGCCCTTTTAACTCTGGTAAGCTTTTTTAGGTTGTTTTGTTGTAGTAAAATATATATAACATAAAATTTGCCAGTTTAACCATTTTTAAGTGTACAATTTAGTGGCATGAATTACATGCATAATGTTGTGAAACCATCATTACTATCTATTTCCAAAACCCTTTAATCACTCCAAATAGAAACTCTGTGCCCAATAAACCATAACCCTGCACTCCCCCTCCCCAGCCTCAGTACCCTCTAGTCACTTTCTGTCTCTATGAACCTGCCTGTTCTAGACATTTCATACAAGTGGAATCATACAATATATGTCCTTTTGTGTCTAACTTCTTTCACTTAGTATAATGTCTTCAAGATTCATCCACGTTTTAGCATGTGTCAGAACCTCAGTCCTTTTTATGAGAGACTAATATTCTGTTGTAGGGATGTACCACATTTGTTTATTCTTTTATCTGTTAATGGACACTTGGGATGTTTCTACCTTTTGGCTACTGTGAATATATGATGTGCTTTCATGGCCATAAGATGAGGGAAGTGGGACTGTCCACTGGGGGAAAAGCAGCCTGGGGGGCTTGACAGTGGCAAGACCATAACGCAAGAGGGACTGAACACAGAGCAGGGAGGAAGTCGTGGCCTTGAGGAAGGAGCAGGTGGAGACGTGGGGAGCCAGGATGAGCCTCTCCAATGCAGCAAAGCAACTGGCTGAGTTTGCTAAGTGACCCCGGCTGGCCCTGCCCTTCTCTCAGCGTCCACTTCTGCGCCTGCTCAGGGGCAGGGCTGCAGCACAGCACACGGTTCCTAAGTAAGGCCTTTCTAGTTCTGACCTTGACCAACAGGTGATTAAACAGTTAACAGCTTAATGAAGGACCCTGTTTGGAGGGCGGAGTGAGAAAGGGGACTTTGGAGGTGACAAAGGTCCAACTCTCCAGGAGGAGAGCATGGTGCCCACTGCAGGGTGTGTAGGGAGTGGTGGCAGGACCTGGGCCCCACAAGAGGCTTGGCTCCAAGTGAGTGTCAGGGAGGGGCAGAGGAATGGTTGCAGAAGAAGCTGGAGAGGGCTGTACCTGCCGGGACAGAGGGCTTTCTGGAACCAGGCTGACCAGAACCTGGGAATTCTTCAACCAGTGGGGAAGGAACTGAGAAAAAAGCTTGGTAGCCAAGGCAAATGGCAACTTGAGTGATTTCTACAATGGATCAGAATGCCCTGTGGTTGAAGTACACAGCCTGGACAGGGGACACAGCACACCTAACAGAGGGTGTGGGAGAAAAACAGTGAACAGGGCCTCATGTCCACATTACTAGCAGTGTGGCCCTGTCTGAAACAATGAACCTCATCTACATGATGGGCAGCTCAAAGCCATCAGCTCTGCGGTCCTTTCTAGGGTACATGGGAACATGGAAGGGGTGGCGAGAGAGATCTTTTTCACACTCATTCCTTCAGCAAATGTTTCCTGACCACTGCTCTGTACCAGGCATGGTGCTAGGTGCCCTTTCTTTGTCCACCTGATAATGAGGGGATGGATGGAAGATGCAGCAACAGTATCTTCTTGTTGCAGAGCTTTGCAAAGGCTAAGTGAGACAGCCATACAAATAGGGCTCCCTTGCAAACCGCCCCTTCCCCCAGTCTGGCTTGCTTCCAACGCCAACCAAGAGTTGTAACCCAGCCTCAGGCACCCCTAATCCCAGGTGGGACTCTGGGCTCCTGCAAGGAGCCCTATCAAGGGGCTGAGAAGGGAGGGAGGAGGGATACTGGGACTGGAGGGTAAGCTGGACTCACCTTCACGCAGGAGTAGATCACGGACACAAACACCACCAAGGTCAGCAGCAGGAAACAGGTCAGATAGAAACTCAGCATGAACACAGAGCTGGAAGGAGAGAGGAGGTAGGGAATTCTGGGGCTCAGAGAGGCCCTGCACAGGGCGCAGAAGGCACCTCCTTTCCCCTGCACCCACTGCCCAGTCTCACTAAGAAGGGATCACACAGCCTTGTGAATCGATTCAGACCCCTCCTCCATGATGGTCTGGGTCCTGCCCAGCCCACAAGGGAGCCAAATGGAGAACCAAAGACACCTGTTCAATATTTTGCCTAATTCTTAGCTCTCCATGGACTCCCTTCTTCTAGCTTGGAGGGACCCGTTTTCAGAACCACCTGGTTATTCCCTCCAGATTGTCACTCTGAAGGCTGAAAATTGGTTCAAGGAATGGCCATCATTTATAGAAATGCCTTTGTCATCAGCCCCACCAGTTACCCTGAGAAACAGCAGTTACATGTTCCTTTGGAAGGCAGAGTCCCTAAACCCTGTCCCCTCCCCACCACCAGGCCCCACAACAAGTCCTACTCAGCTTCTGTTTCCCTGTTCCCAGCCAGTTCAAAAACAACCATCAAAAAATGCAAGGATCTCCCACTGCCCCTCCTTTCAGAGGCAGGTATCAGGTGGGTGTAACGTTCAGCATGGGCCAGAATCCTCAGGCAAAAGAACTGCAAGTGACTTTCCATCCGGAGCCGGAGCCCGGAGCCCGCCGCTGGCCCTCCTGGGGCAGGGCTGGCCGAGGCACTGCACTCCCCGCGGTGTCACAGGAGGCCCCGAAACTCTTGCTCCCTTTCAGGGAGTGAGATGGCCTGAGATGCCAGGCATTTGTTAGCACGTTAAAGGCAAGTGGAGGACCTGAGGAGGCAGGTGAACACCTCTAGGGAGGCACTCAAAAGGCATCTTTGTTCCAGGCTCCCCCAGAAGCCAGCACTTAGCTGCCTTAACCGAATAGAACAAGGGCAGTGAATGCTCTTCAGAGGAAAAGAAAGACCTTTCAAGTAGCTTTTAAGGCTCCCCTAGAGCGGATGGCCAGAGGAGGGGCTGAGGCCACTGCCGGCAGAGCCGGGAACTGGAAGAACTCAGCCCCAAGCCACACTGCCGACAAAGGGAAGCAGCCGAGAGGCAGGATCATGCATCCGAGCGAAGGGGACTCTCAGCTGCGATGGGACAGAAAGTCTAGGTTGCTTATTATGCTCCAGCTCCATTTCAATTCAGAAAAATGGGTCCTGTGCCAATAAGGATGTACAATCCCAACAACTCCGCACGGCCTCAGTGCAGGGGGCAGCGGGCACTAGCTGTATGACCAGCGTGCGGCTGGCTGCCGGCATCTGGTTCTCACCGGTGGTATCCTGACAGGGTCACAGCAGACACAAAGGTAAGGGCCATCTCTTCAACAGCAAGTGCCATTAGAAATAAAAGGTATGGGGGAGGATATAGCTCAGTGGTAGAGCACGTGCTTAGCATGCACGAGGTCATGGGTTCAATCCTCGGTACCTCCATTAAAAATAAATATATAAATAAACCTAATTACCACCCCCAAACTAAATAAAAATTTGTTTAAAAAGAAATAAAAGGTATGTTGACATCGTGTACCTCCTGATACGATGCACTGAGATGGACCCAGCTTCTGTGGGATTCTTGCCAAAACTGCATAACTTCAATCCAATCATGAGAAAACGTCGGACAAACCCAAATTGAGACATTCTACAAATGAATCAACAGCACTCATCCCCAGTGTCAAGACCATGAAAGGTAAGTAAGGGCTGAGGAAGTGCCATGGATTGGAGGGGACTAAGAGGGTAGAGCAGCTAAATCCAACGTGGGATCCTGGACCAGTGCTCGGAACACAGAAAGGCCGTCTGGGGGACTGTTGATGAAATCAGAATACAGTCCGTGGATTGGTTCATAGTACCATTTCAGTGTTGAGTTCTTGCTTTTGACTACTGTGCTGCAGTTACGTAAGTTGTCATCAGCAGGGAAAACTGAATGAAGGATGTCCAGAGACTCTCCATAGTACTTCTGTAACTCTTCTCTAAATCTACCATTATTTCAAAATGAAAAACAGAAGCTGTTGGGGTGAGGAGACTCTTTCAGATTAAATCAGATTTATGAGACATACCCAAATGCAATCAGTGGGTACAGCACAGGGAACTATATTCAGTATCTTATAATAACCTTTAATGAAAAAGAACATGAAAATGAATATATGTATATATATATGTATGACTGGGACATTTTTCTGTGCACCAGAAACTGACACATTGTACCTGATTGTACTTCAATTAACAAACAAACAAATACAATCAGTGGATATTGAGTAGATCCTGGCTGTGAATAAACTAAGAGTGGAAGACATTTGGGGGACAGTTTGGGAGATCTGAACATGGACTTGGTTTGAGATGATTGTAGAGAACTGGTTTAGTTTTGCTTGGTTTATAAGGCATTGTGGTTAAGAAGGAAAATGCCCCTAAAGTAGGTGTATATTGAGGTGTTTAGGGGCAAAATGTTTTTGTATCTAAAATTTACCTTAAAAAATCAGAAAAAAAGATGAAACAAAATTGCAAAATATTAACAATTGTTCTATGTAGGGGATGAGTGTTGATTATAGTAATTACTTTACTCTTCTGTATGTTTAAATAATAAAAAGTTAAAAATACGTATATATGTGTGCATATATACATACAGATACACACATGTTCATATGCGGAGTGGTTACCTTTCTCACTTAGGCAAGACCCTACTGTGAATGACTGTCTAATAAACATGCACTTCCAAAAGCCCAGTGCCCACTTCAGAGTGGTCCCCTTGGAAGCCACAGGCCTCTCTCAGCGACACAGCCAGCCAGTCCTCAGAAGAGTTCAGGAACATCTCCTTCAGAACCTGAAAAGCCTTCAGAACCTGAAATCCATTCTTTGAAATATCCAGAGTAGCAGAAAACCCTTATCTTTTGAAGATGTATTGATTTTTTGCAAGAACCAAAGGTCACCCCGAAATAAGCCTAGTGAATACTTTGGGTGTTTCAATGGGCAACAGTGGCCTATGTTAAAATGGGATGAGATGATAAAGTGGAGGGAAGGGGTCTCCCATACACAGACAGATGTTTTCTACCTGCAGTGAGCACATTGCCTTGCCATCATGGAGGAGACGGACTCCTGGCTTCACGGCCCCACTGAGGACACATCTGGAAACTTCTCTCTTTGCTGGAGCAAGTTCAGTCCAGACCCCCACCCCTGCTTTCCTTTATGACTTCCCCTCCTACCCCTGGAGCCCCTGCAACCAGAGGAAGGAGTCTGGGAGGAAGAGATACTTACTGGGGCACGATGGTGATCTGGACAAAGCAGATGAAGAGGAAGACGAGCGAGGCACATGCCACATAGGCACCGAATCGGTCATCCACCTGCTTGGAGTACTGAGAGAATACAGGCAGGGTGAGGGGGCGGAGGAACCTGGCCCTATCTGCTCCAGCCTGGGTCCACTCCAGACACACCCAGGACAGCCCACTCCCAAGATCTGGAAGACCCAGGAGAGAACCAACGCTAGCCTTAGCTCTCAAGAAACCAGTCCACTCACCACACGGTGGTGCCTATGGGGAGGGCGGCTGAATTGTATCGAACCAGAAACTCTGCAGGCTGGGTCACCGTGAGAGTAAATCATAATGATCACGGCTCACATTCCTGAGCACCATCTGCATGCTAGGACTCACACCAGGGCCTACAAGCATCACCGTACATCCTCACAAGAGCCCCAGGAAATAGGCATGGGACTGCTGCTGCTTCTACTTCAGAGATGAGCGAGCTGGGGCTCAGAGCGGTCCAAAGTCACAGATCTCATCATCTCCGGGGTCTTGACTCCCAGCCCTGCCCTCTCATGACACCAACCAGCTGCACGAATGGCTGTGCAGGCACAGAGTCACCCAGAGAGGGTAATCCACAAGTCAGTTCCATTTATGCTGGTAAACAGACTAAGTTCCGGTTCCATAATTTTACCCTCCTAATTGCCTCACTTGACCGTGAGCTCCCATGAGCGCATTTTGACCAAACACCAGGGAGACACTGTGACGTGGAGCAAAGACCTTGAACCAGGGTCTGGTGCTGGCTGTGTCACTGCTTCACTGGGTGGCCTCGAGCAAGTCGCCCAAGTACCCTGAGCTTTACTTTCTCAAGCTTTACAGTCACAATTTAAGGAGGTGGGACAAACAGCTCTTGATCGCCCCTTCCCACTCTAATACTTTGAGGTTCCAGTCTGCCAAAGGCAGCTAGATGGTCCACTGATAGTGATGATAATGATAATAAATAACAATAAAATAAAACAAATAGCAATTCATGTTTATTGAACAACTACTATTTGTTTGCAGATACTGTTTTATGTGCTTTACATGTAAGGACTTGTTTAATCCTCACTATGGACACTGTGAGGTACATGTTAAGTATCCCCATTTTCCAGATAAGGAAACTGAGGCACAAAGAAGTTAAGATTTAGCCCTTCCAACCAAGGAAGTCTCCCTAAAATCCCCATTTCCTGAGTAGGGCAGCATCAGAGCTGGGGAGATGGAGATGACAAGGAGGAGCTCTTTCCACGGTGTTGGAGACGGGGAGGGAGCCGTCCTGGTTCTGTGGGGTGGGAGGAACCCTGGGGGCTGTACCTTCTTCTCTAAGTCAGGCTCCCTGAAGGTCAAGAGGAACTTGCGGACATGCTCAGACCGCAGCCTGTCGATGCTCCTGGCGTCAATGGCACGGCCCAGAAATTCGTCCACTTCATCCTCGGGGTTTGCACTTTCCTGGGCGTTCCTGGGGAGCAAGGGACACAGACACGAGACAGGCTGACCACCAGGGGGCGCGGCTAGGGGGCTGGCTCTGCCCACACACTCAGCCCATCAGAAGGGCTTGGCACAGCTGCCAGGATCAACCATCAGCGATCAGCCATGAGGGGTGAGGAAACCGGGAAGCACACCAGGACAGCCAGGGGCCCAAGTGCCTGCTCTTAACAACTGCATACATGTGCAGAAAGCTGCCCAAGTCTCAGACCCACTGGCCCGGGAGGCCTCACTGGCAATGAGGCTTTTCTGGCCCTACTGATATATTACTATACGACGATGATAATAATAATATGCATTTTTAATCGAAGGTTCGTTTTCCCCCTACAGGTAACAGTCTCTGGTCTTCACTCTCCAGCTGTACCAGTATCCTGAGTCGAAGGCTGAGATCAGGACGCAAGACTGGGAGCCACCTGGTTGTGCTCACCTGGCTCAGGCACTCTCTGGGAAGTAGGTTTCATGATTTTTGGGTGCTGAACTAAACTAAACATCCTACTTCTCAGAGTGAAGCCCAGTCCTCAAGTGGGACTTCTGACAGCCCCTGAGACTGGGAAGTGGAGAGACAGGAAGACAGTCCCTCAGGGTGCTGGGATGAGGCCAGGCGCTGGTGAACAACATGCAAGGCGTGCATTTCCTGGGAGCTGCATGTGCGTGCGTGTGCATGTGCGTGCGTGTGCACATGTGTGTGTGGAGTGGAGATTGTACAGGGGCAGTGCTGGGGCCCAGCCTCTCTGCCGGGGGCCTGGGCTCCGGGGCTGCTCGTCTCTCAGGTGCAGTGGGCTCTGTCCACTCAGCCAAGACTGCACGTCCTGGGCTCATTTTCCATGGAGCCGGAAACTGAGCTCCAGGCAGGTATGGAGATATCCCCCAGCCCGAGGGAGCAGGAATGAAGAGGGCATATGACTCACTTGTCCTTGGGGTCTTCAAAACCCTAAAAGAGAGGGACAGAGAGAAAAGGAGGGGAGTATGAGAACAGAGGGGACTGAAAACGGAGGCTCCCGGAGAGGGCGCTGCGGGTGGCTGCAGCTAATCCTCGCTTCACAGTTCACCAGGGGCTTGGACACGGGGAGCTCTGTCACTCAGTCGTCCCCACTTTCCTCCATTTGGAGAACACAGCTGGGTTTGGGACAGGCTCTGTGCTGGATGCTGGGGGCACACTGGGATCTCACTTCATCCACTGGCAAAATCCATGGGTCTAAGCTCTTCCTGTCCCCACCCCCAATCCCTTGTCATTCCCCAAACCTCCCCTCCCCCTCCTCCTGGGCCCTGGGTTTGGCGGGCCCCCTCCCAACTCTGCCACTTACTCAGATGGAAATAAGACAAACTGCTAAGCGGATCAACCCCATATGCGAGTGCACACCCAAGCACACACAAGCTCACGTACACTCACCCCTGACCCCAGCTGAGCACACATAAAATCTCCTGAGAGTTCACAAGTTTAAGAAAATTAAACTCTGGTTGTTTGCAACAGCTTTTCTAGTATCTGAGAACTGATGTGTGCTTGTAAGGCTCGAGTTGGCTGGGGGCCCAGGAGGTGAGGAACCTGCCTGCCCCGGTTTGACTGCTGTTCTGATGTTCATATATCCAGGGCAGGGGTGAGGGTGGGAAGGGCCCTTACTGGCTGCCAAACTCAAAGCCCTATCTAGAATTCATCTACAAAGTCCACAAAGGATAGAAATGTGTCAGTGTTTTGACCAGTTGTGGCAGAATGCAGGGAGGGGTCCCTAAAATGGGAAGGGCTGGATCTGGGAGGCAGCGGGGGAAGAAAAGGCACCCAGGACAGGCAGTTTCAGGTTGCCAGGACAAGGAGAGAGGGTGACCTCTGGTCCCTGCGGCTCAGCGTGGAGCACACTGCTGGGCAGACGGGGGGGTTGGCAAACGTTGGGGAAACGCAACCCCCAGATGAACACATGCCTCTTCACTCCCCCTGGGGAGTGGGATTTATATCGGTCTCCACGAGCCGGAGCTGTGCGGCTCCGAAACAGATGTGGGGCCCACGCATACTGAGGTGCTGTCTGTTCTCCCGCAGCTGCGGGCTCCCCGGGGCCTCAGCAGCCCCTAGTGCCACATCCAAGTGCCCAGCCGTGGGCTCTGAGATCCTCCCGGCTGCCTGGTGGTGGTCTTCCCTGGAAAAGCCAGACTCTTCTCCTTGTCCTCTGGGAATCGCCAAGCCCTCCGTCCAGGTTGCAGGACCCACCCACCTCACTGTCCCGAGGAGCTGGCGTCACTCGCATGAGTGCTCTGTCTGGGGGCAGGCGGGACCCCTTAGAGCACTGGTGCCTAAACATAAGCCAGCCCAGCTCCTCACTACATTTTAAAAGCTGAATAAAAGATGGAACAAGATTTAAAGACATAAATGACAGGTTAGTGCCTAACTGCTCTCAGTCGCTGCTTCATCTAATTCCCAGCCTTCCACCCCATCTTCAGTGGAAGTCAGGGTTGAAGCTCTCTTCCTGTGTATGTTATTCAAAGATTTCTGGGCAAGTTTAACACCAAAAGCGAGTGGATCCTGGCCCATCCCTGGCCTCTCAGGTGACTCTGCCCAGCCAGGAGGGGGTGGGAGCCTCTTCTCTCCCTCTACAGAGGTGTCCCCAGCCCTTTTCTTCTGCTCACTTGCCCTTCCCTTCCCTGCTGGGCGAAGCAATTAACACCATGGAGAAGCTTTCCTGCCACCAGTCTCCCCCAGAGACTGTTTCCCCAATTACAGCTCTTCTGCTAATTCTTCCAAGGCTCCTTGTCCTAACAATGATTAATATGTCTGCCAAACCGGTGCTTATAGTCCACACTGCCTCCTTTGAGACTCTGAGATAACTAGAATCCACTTATACCAAATATCACTAAAGAAAAACAACTTGCAGAAGATTTTAACTCGAGAACATACCACGAGGTACCTGTCCTGCCTGCCCCATCTTCCTCTCCACCTCTGTCCTGCCCCATCTTTCTCTTTCCCACTCTTCACCATCTCCCACTCCCCTGTCCCTCTCTTTCCTACCCACCTGGATGAGAGCCTCCCTCTTTGCATTCTGTTCTCAGTCGCCTTTCCTCTCACCCCCCCTCTCACCTCTTGACCATCCGGGTCACGTGGGTACAGAGTCCCCAGGAGATGATTAAAAAACTGAGGAGAGAACAGGGAGGGTCCAGCAACTGCTCTTTGCTTTGAGGAGAGGCCTGAAGGGAGGGGGAGTGGTGCCTGGAGCCTGGGTGGCACAGATCAGGTCTGTGGACATCCAAGTTCAAAGCCCTGGGGGAAGGCTGGCCTCTCCCACTCTGTCCCTTATAACTTTGGTGTCCAGTCCTTCCAGTTGCTTCTTTACCATCTGAAGTTAAAATGTTGGTTTTGACTCAATTCACTTTATTTTCCTGTACATCTTCTTTAAACCTTTGTCATCTGTTACTTGCTGGCTGGCAAGAAACAGAATGACTGGTGTCCAGCCTGTCTGCTCCCACAGACCCCTGGCTCTGTTTGCTGACTCAGCTGGATTCCCATGGAGTGTGTCTCTAATTACTGCAGCTGCCACTTATACCTAGTGTGATCCACAGACCAATGGGGGGATCCTAGTGCCGACCTGGCCCCCATTGCTCTACCTGGCTCTGGGAACTAAGTGGACAGACACACACACATATCTTCCTGGACCCTCACCCATCCCTCCCTCACAGAGGGCAACTCCACTTGGGAACCAGGCTGCCCTTGAGCTGAGGGGTGTGCTTGGATTTAGAAGCCAAGCTCTCAGATAAAAAGAAAGAAAATGCTGCTGCTGCAACCTGACTTTTTGTCATCCCTCTGTCTCTTCTCTACACCCTCTGAAGTCTTTCTACTATCACTGATAGAACCCAGGCAGCGTATCCTGAATTAGTCTGTCCCTGGTGTGTGCAGGGGCGGCTGGGGGTGTGTGTCCCCCATGGCAAGCAAGGTCCCCTGAGATGGAGGTGGTACCCCCTACCACGGCCTCTGCTCATTCAGCTTGCATGTTCCCACTGGAAGGCTGGAACTAACGGGGGTGTTTCTCAGCACAGAGGGCAAAAAGACCATCACCGAGTACTTGCCAAAAAGCATTGGAAGGTTTCTGAGCAACTGAGCCAAAGGATGTGTTTCAACTGCCTGAGAAATGCAGCAGATGCTGGAAGGTGTCTGACAAGCTGGTGCCCACCCAACTCCCCAGGGCTCCCCAGACAGAGCCAGAAAACCTGTGGAGGCTCTAGGCTCTATCTGGACCCTGAGTCTGGCCAGCTGAGCCTGCTTCCAGCCTGCACCAGCACGTTCTGCCAAGTGGGAGAGAGGAAAGGGCACAGGCACTCTGTTCCAAAGCCAAATCCGGCATGCCAAGAGATGGTGGGGCCCACGGAGAAAGCCAGGGGCTGGAAGTTAGGCACTCTGTTTCCTGGTCCAAAGTCGGGGCGAGCCTGCTTCCAACGTTTCCTTCTGTGGCTCCCCAGATTCCCTTGGGCAACACGAGGGGCCTGGACCATCCCTCACACCCTCAGAAGGCTCTAGCCCCAGAAAATGCTGCCCTGCCAGCCACTCACCATCCGCTTCATCTCCTTGGACACCTGGTTGCCACCCAAGTGGTTGTAGAAGGGGCGCTCAGCCCCCCAGTGTGGCGGGTTGTGCCCGATGGAGTTGGTTCTCTGGCGATTCATCTTGGCAATCATGGCCTTCTCTTCTTTCTGGAAGAGCAACACAGATACATCAGCCTGTGGGCAGGGCCCGCCAGGTGGGCCTGAGCAGGGAGCTTCTCATTCCTCCCAGGTGCCTGGCCAGGTAGGGGTGGAGGCAGCTGCCCCTCTCTTCTCCGCACAGCCTTCAGCCCAGAGTTCTGCCAGGATCCTAAAGCTCTCCCAGGAAAGCAGCCTAAATCCCTCCAAATTCCCCAACAGCAGCCCTGGCTGGTGCAGGTGGGAGCAGCAGAACAGGATGGTGAGGTCTGTCTTGTGAGGAAGAAAGAGGCAAGGGAATGTCTGTCACTGGCAGAGGATTTTAGGGATGGGCAGAGCCTGGGTCCGGAGATGCCTCGGGGTGATGGAGGGAGAGGAAACCTGAGATTCCAATCTCCAAAATACGCGTGTTCTAGCAGAGCGCACAGTAGGACAGGCCCCGCTGACCAGAAGGAAGTTGATTCATTAGAATGTGAGGTTCGGGGCTGTCACGCGTTGTACAAGAATACTCATGGGGGCTCAGCTGGCTACGCACGTGCCAACCACAACCTTTGTCTGTCCAGCCACCCAAACGGGCTCAAGGTGGAGTGCTGCAGCGGCCCAGGCAGGCCTGAGGCAGCCTTCCCCTCACCTCCCTCCTTGAGCCTGGGAAGGGAGCCGGTCAGGCCAGGGACGCAGAGGGGAGGGGACATGGTCTGCTCTAGCCGTCACTGCTGTGGGCCGGGGCTGGGGTGGGTGGTGTCCCTCTCTGTCTCCGTTTCATCTTTTCTGAACCACTTGTCAAGCTAGGAGAACGAAGACCCACAGAAGTCAGGGCAGAGGTTGAGCCTTCAGCCTGGGAGGGGCAGGAAGGTGAGGCTGGAGGTTCTGTGACCCCGAGAGAAGAGGGTGTGGGAGGAGGGCTCAGGTGGATTTCAGTTCAGTTATGCTCCTGTCAAACAACAAGCAAATGTTTAAGAATGAGTTCATTAAGCCTCTCAGGAGCTTCCCCCAAAGTGCCTAAATCTTCCCCACCCCCTTCCGGGTGTCTGCGCCGGGGCCTGATGGTAACAGCTCCCTCCGAGGCCCCCGCAGCCAGGGTCCCTGGGCTGGGGTGTGCTTCTGTGGAGGGCGAGGTGCCCCTCTGACGGCCCTCTCAGGGTGGACGTCTGCCTGGAAGAGCCCTGCTGCCTTTAAAAGTCTACTTTTGCTGTCTTCCAGACATCTTCTGAGCTTGCCCCATGGCTTATTTTGTCTTTAACTTCTTGGGAAAGAAACAGGGATGCTTTTCTCTATCAAAGGGCTGTGACCAAGAGATAAATTCAATTGAAAGATTCATAGGTAAAAGGCATTTTAATCTAGGGGGAAAGAAAAAAATGGGTGAAATACAAAAGGTTCTCCTCATTTCCTTTAAAAATTAAGAATACGGAACATGACACTATTAAAAATAGAACACTGAAGTCTGCTAATAATTCAGCTTTATATTTTGGCAAGTGCAGGCAGAGACAAAAGAAGGAAGAAGACAGAGACTAGAAAGTGAAAGAGGGGGAAAGACAGAGGTTCAAGAAACAGATACATAAGTACAGGTAGAGAGAGAGAGAGCCACCTAGTTTAGGCAACAGACAAGGAACGAGATGAAAATAATTATGCTGTACACCAGAAAGTGACACAACATTATAAACTTACTATATTTCAATTTAAAAAATGGGAAAAAAAAGGACAAGGTATACACAGAGCTCCTCGATGCTTCATTTTCTCTCGTGGCCTTCTAGTGCATTGTTACTGATTTGAGGTCTGTTGCATTTTTGCAACAGAAGGAAATGAAAACATTCCCTCTTTGCCATGAGCTTTTGCAAGGCCTCTGTAGCTCTCACGTCCTTTCTAAGATGCAGGAACCAGGACTGCATAAGGAATTCAGGACTTGACTCAAGGAAAGAGTAAGAAGAGAAGGAAACAGCAGGCCCAGAAATATTCCTTTCTAAAAGATCGAAGCCCCTCCGTCCCTGGCTCACCAAGCCCCCCACCCCAGCCCTTGGCCCCCGGACCCGCTTCTGGGTGCAGCGCAGGATGAGGAAGGTCTCGATGCTGTGCTCCTTGAGGTAGGCGTTGCGCTCGCCCCCACAGCCTGGCTCCACTTCGTAGTCGCCATTCAAGTAGTTGAGTGTGGCCTTGGTGATATGGATGCGTCTACAGGTGGGGAGGGAAGCAGGGAGAGGAGGGCAGCAGATGTGAATTCAAAACCCTGCTCCCAGACAGAACCAAACTGCAACCGACTCAGTCACCATTCAAATCCCAGGGCCCAAAACTCTGGCTCAAATGTTAACGCCATCCTCGATCCTGACCTCAGTGGACTGTATTCCTCCAGTGTCATCAAGATGACTCAGGTGGACCCCTCTCCAGCTCGTATCCACAGCGACCACATCATATCACATCGACATCAAGTTAATATCATAATAACATAAGACATCATTAACCTGCTGGGAGAACACGGCCTCCAGCTCACAAACTTTGCCTACCTGCTTAGAAGCCAGAGGTGGCTCCTGCTGACTACAGGATTGTGTCCAAATTCCCCAGCCTGGCATGAATGTCCTTCCTAGTACAAGCACTGATTCTCTCACTGGTTCCTAAAAAGCCATCTGCTCTTCTTCCATTCCTTGGAAGTACTGTACTCTCCTCTACCCTGCGCCTGTCCTCAGCCTGATCCCTCAGCCTGGCACACCCTGCCCCACCTTCCTCACCAGCCCACATCCTGCCCAGCCTTCCAGGCCAGCTCATGTCCCACCTCCTTACGTCCTGGCTACCCCCCAAATTTATCCACGGTTCCTCTCTGCTCTGGAAGTCTACTCTACCTCCCACATCTCACAACAGGCCACCAGGTTTTGTGTAAATATCTTCTGGGTGAAGACTGGGTGAAGGTGGGGACCATGCTTCCAAGTTATAGGTGGGGACCTATAACTTGCCATGTGTGATGTCAGGGTTGGTTACACAGTCACCTCTACTTAAGTTCTACCAACCCCAAGGCTGCGGCTACCCTGTCCTGCCCACCTGAGCCCTGCTCCCCGCAGCAGCCACCTACCCTCACTCACCCTGCCTTGCCTCCAGCCTCCATGTGGTTGGCCAGCGTGACGTCGTTGGACCAGACGTCGAACTGCCACTTCCTGAGACCAAGGACACCGCAGTGCACTCGCCCGCTGTGGATTCCCACACGCATGTTCACGTTCACACCCGTCACCTCCCGGACCAGCCTGGGGATGGAGCAGGGGTAAGGCCAGGTGGGGGTCAGGGCCAGGCGCAGAAAGTGGGGGTGGCTGGAAGGCAGGGGGTCGGGGTGCGTGAGAAGGTGCAGGGGTCAAAGAGTCATTTCTCTCTGGGCCAGCCCAAATCCTGAGTCCGAGACCATTCAGCCTGAAGGGAGGGGCTGGGCCCTGGTGCGCCTGTGCTGTGAGACATGAGAGGCTTTGTTTCCCAGCTTGCCCACAAGGTGGCGCAGTGCCTCACACTAAAACCCAGGCCCCATTGCTTCCTCCTTAACTAGGGCACCTGAGCCGATCGGTTAACAATTAAGTTGTGTTCTGAAGACACAAATGCATGTTAGTGCTGACTCAAGTCAATAGGAAAATTATATCCACTCCAAACCCCATTCATACAATTCTCGAATTTATCCACATTGCTGCTTCTTCAGAGTTAGCAAGATAATGAAGAAAGAGAGGACACATGTCCTGCTCAGGGAAGAAGGGGAGCTGGGCAGGAGCAGGGGACCAAGGGCGCTCCACATGCTAGAAGACAGCTCCAGTCCCTGCCACGTGCACCACACACATACTCAGGGGTCCCCAGTAGATGGGTGGGCCGCCAGTAGGAAGGGCAGTGGCATGGAAGCTAAAGAGCTCGGGTCTGTGGAAGAGGGAACAAGTGCTCCCGGGGGAAGGTACAGTGTGTACTCTTAGGGACCTGGACCCTCCCTGACACTCTGGGGATGGGCGCACTCAGCCAGCTGTGGGGCTGGCAGGCTGACTTGGCCTGGTGGCCAGGAACACCATGTGGGCCCCAGCTCTCTGCCAGCCCACCAGGGAGAGGCTGACACCCACTGCAGGAAATATTTACGTTATCCATTGTCTCTCTTGTCCTGGGGTCAGCCCTTGCTGGAGCTGTGCCTTCCATCCACAAGGCCTCTGGCCACTTGCTTAGGTTGATATATCTCATTCTGCCCTTTGGGCTTAACTCCAAGGCCACCTCCTTCAGGAAGCCTCTCTCTGTCCTCCCAATGGAATTAACTGCCCCCTCTTGGGCCCTTCCACCACAGTTTCCCTCTCATGCCTGATGGTGTCTCCTGGTCACGCCTAGTATCAGAGCAACAGGAGGCATGGCCTCTCCCCCTCAACTGACTCTGCGCTTCCAGGCGATGGACTCACTGTCTAGATCGGGCAAAGGGGCACTCGGCAAACACTGCCAAAAGGAACTGAGCCAAACAGGATGGACGTGGGCTGGCTACTAGGACCTCTGACCTCTGTGGCTTTTCCTTTGCCCTACCCAGGCTCCTTCCAAAGCTCAAAGTTACTGATCCAGAATGCAATCTTTGACCTCCTTTGGTTGACATGTAAGCTTGGACTGTCCATGTTGTTTAAAGACCTTCTTCTGGAGGAGGGGCTTCTTCTGGAGGAGGGGCTCCTTCTGTGGTCAGCAATGACCAAGAATTGGCCAAAGATCCTATTTACTATAGCTCCCAGGAAGGATGGATTTTCTTAAACGAGAACACCTGTGTTTGCATCTGCCTGCCTAGCGCTGTTATCCTGGGGAGCTGTTTAGCCCCTGTGAGCCCAGATCTTCTCATCTGGGAAGCAATGGGGCCAGTAGGTTCTACCCCTGGCTGGGTGGTTGTGAGAAGGCATGAGGGACTGGAGGGCAAGGCCCCCTATGGCACAAAGTACAGCCCAACTGCCAGCCAGTCCTCCTCTCCTGGAGAGCTGGCTCCACACTTCTTGCTGCCCTGGAGTCTGAAAAGCCCTCCCTTCCTGCAGGACATGTCCTTCTGTGCAGAGCTTCTAGGGATGCTGTGGGCAGAAGAGCCCCAGAGAAGGCTCAAAGCCTGGGGGTGCAAATCAACCCTCCACTGTGGCCGGGGTCCTTGGGAAGTGGATTTCCCCCACTGTTTCCCTGCCCCAATCTGTTCAACATCAGTTACTTGGGCCATGGGACAGTCCTCCTGCAGATGGGCAACCCCCCTGGAGATGGACAGTGTCCCTGCAGGTGGGCAGGCCCCCTAGAGACAGGCACTTACGAGATGGCCTCAATCATGTCCATGCCCATCTCCACGCAGCAGTGGGCATGGTCAGCCCTCGCTTCAGGCAGCCCCGAGACGCAGTAATAGCAATCTCCCAGGATCTTAATACGTAAACAGTGATTCTCCTGGAAAGCAAATTAATTTTAAAAATTAAAAATAGTAGGAAAGAGAAGTGGGAGAGAAAGAAACAGGAAGCAAACAGATTCACCCCATGCCTGGAATAACTTGCCTTTTAGGGCAGCAAGCACAGACCCAGCACAGGCACGAGG